TCACTTACCTTATAAATGAGAGTAGGTGAGCCAGTGCAAAAAATTGATGTTTGAATCGGTTAATGAATTGTATATACCTAAGGGTTATGCTTCTGTTTGGATATGTAATTAAGAAAAAATGCAGAGCAACTACCAGTTCATTCGCCTTATAAATGAGAGCAGGTGAGACAGTTCAATACATATCATCTACATTACACGACTTTTTGCGAGACTTACGTAATTCACAAACAAAAAAAAAACAAAAAATAAAAATAAAAATGGGATCAGTTTGAATGGTACAAAATATTATAGTTATTTTATGAAAATCAAAGAAGATGTTTCCACCTAGTTTCTTGGATTTTAGAGCAATTTCCGCTTTAGTTAAATTACAAATGAAAGTAGGTGAGCCAGTACAATAAATACATCGATGTAGCTACATCAACGCGACTTATTGCTACATGCACATTTCTAGCGAATGGTCTTCAGAGAATACGTACACAGTACAATAAGATGAAAAATAAGTTGTGGTTGAAAAATCAGTCACTTAATAGTTAAAACTCCGTCACAATCTCATTTTGCAATAAAAAATAGGGAAGAAATACTCAATCACAATTTAATCTGAAAAGAATTTTGCATTCCATTGCAAAATTTAGATAGAATTGATAAATTATTTGTGTCTAAATGTGTAGTTACTAACTCGAACGAACATCAGATAATTATAAAAGAAGCTGTAATTGTAGCAACTCAACTAAGTAAGCAATTTTGTGTGAATCATCTTATCTTAAAATTTTACATAACTTGATCATGTGAAAATTTTGTGTCTATTTCTCTCTTCACATGTATTAAATAGGTAGGATACAATTATAATTAATGAAGAAAGAGATAAACACTAAGATTTCACATGATGAGATCATATAAAATTTTAACATGAAATTATTCATTCCCGACAACACTGCACTTGATGTGTTATTGTTAGGTAAGAAAATGGAATTTAAGTTGTGGTTTAGAGAAGGGTACGTAGTACTAGAGATTGTCTTTCGTTTTCCAATTAGTCATTTTCAAAGTTTTTCTACACTGTAAGCCCATAACTTGGACTTTGCTGTTTTTCCCCTTCTATAGATTTGGTACATGCCATAATTGTGTTTTTTTTAACCATTTTGCCTAATGTGAAAAAATTTGTTCTATTTATTTTTTGCTTTTTCACTTTTGATGAAATAATAAATAGAATAAAAATAAATTATTATCAAGGTTGAAGTTTGTGGAAAAATCGGGCAAAGAGCTTTAACTATGACAAACTCCGACTCGGGATTAATCTCATAACCGATTTAAAGAATTAAAACTTGTGAGGATACCGAAGAGCCGACTCACCTCTAGGTAACTAGGATCGGTATAGAAAAAAATATTCTAAATTTTACCAATGTTACCAAAATAGAATTAATGATTCAGTTATGAAGAATTCACTTTTTCTTTTTACACTACAAAATTAGATAATAAGATAAGATATAAAATAATACTGTATTAAAAAAAAGTATTACGTAAAGATACCAATAATATACATAGGCAACTTAATTGTTACACACTTCTCCTACTTCATTTCGAAGAATAGTAGCTTGCTATTATATTCTTCACCTGATTATTTAGTAAATTACATGTAACTAAGTAATTAAGCGTGTATTAGTGGGTTGAAATAAGAAAAAGACTTAATTAAATGAAGGGGTTTAGTTTTCTCCTTTTATAGGAGAAAACTACTCTCATGCGGTAGATGCAAAATAATAGGTGAGAGAAAAATTTAAGGTGAGAAAAAAAATTTAAAATGGGACCCATTTATGATTGTGTGTGTAGGAATGGATCATTTTCTCCAACAACAGGAGAAAATGATTCCCCTTAAATGAATTAGGATCACTTGTGAGGTAAAAAGTGCAGTCAGTGAAAATTATGGAGTAAAAATATGTATAGGCAAAAGTACCCAAAATATAAAAGTAAAATTAGAAATGTTCCTAGAAAAATATTTCAGACCATAGGGTAAAGTTTGGAAGTGAACGAAGTTAAATAGATAGATAAGCTTTTACCAAATTGAAATAACTAACCTATGTTAAGTGGCAAAACAACAGAAAACTCATTCATTTCCTTCTTCTTCCACGTGGGTGCAGTGCTTGAGAGAGAGGGAGAGACATTTGTGAGTAAAAACCTAACTTTCCCATTTCTCGTCCAAACCAAACCATTCCAAAGCCAATCTTGCCTAAAATCTTCCCCTCTTTGTGAATCCAAGCTTAGTTTTGAGTGGGAAGCTTTGTGGAAAGAGATATCTCCTTCCCAAGAATTTGACCCATTTGGTGATTAAAGGAGTTTAATGACATTTTCTTCCATGGGAGCTTAGGATACCACCATTCCTTGGTTGTGTGATCTTTTGGGGTAAGTTTTCACTTCTCAAACCTTGTTTCCATGGAGATTGCATGAGGTTGAAGATGATGAATAGTGATTTTGTGAGTTTTATGAGTTTGATTTAGATTGGTGCTAAATTCCTTTGTAAAAGTTTCTAGAAATGATAAATAAACTGTAGAAATGAGTTTAGATTGTCATTTAAGTTATGTTCACTATTTTGAGAAAATATATTGTTGAAATTGTGATTTCTTGCATGTTGAGCCATTGGTTGGTAGTATGTTTGATTTGTGTTCATTTTGGTGTTAGGATTGAGCCAAGTGGACCAATTGTGAGTGATCAACCATTGGAGGAAGCCATGGAGCTTGACTAGCTCATTTGAATTGGTAAGTTCATGCCTTAATAATTGTGTTAATGTGGTTGTTGGTTGATGAATATTGATATATTCTTGGATGCAATTGATTGATTGCATTGCACCTTTGTGTATGTGTTTGTTTGTGAGATTGTTGGTAATAATTGTATAGCTTGATTGTGTACATTGGTGGCAGGTGAACAAAGGTTGGACTTGAAGCAAATTGAGGTAAGCATTTGGATCTTGGGAATTGATCCCTTAATTGTTACACCAAGCCCTGAACGGGTAGTGGTTGTTGATAATGTATATAAATGCAATAAAGTAGTTTAATACTTTGTTATACGTGTGTGTATGCACTGGATGAGGCATAGGATGGTGTTTCCCTATGTTTTGTATGTTGCATGATGATACATAATTCATACTTGATAGTTTAATTGGCCAGTAGGACTATTTGCATCTGAGTATCCTTATGACAATATGAGAGCTCGAGGGATGTCTCCTAGAGATGTTTGACACACTACATGTATATGTATTTACTGCATTATTTACTGTTATTGCTATTATATTGTGAGTAAACTATGAGGTGGAGAAATGCTCCAAGGACCCTTAGTTTACTAAGGTATATTCGTATATCTCACGAAGTGTTGTGCGGACCCCCTTTCAGGTACAGATGCTGTAGGAGCCTCTAGTGGCAAATGACCATACTTGGACTAGATTGATACATGAGGACGTTGCATTATTTTGGTTATGCATGCCATTTAATAGTTCCTATGTATAAGATTTACATTTGAAAGCCATTTGATATATGTACATCGTGCTTTATTTTGGTGGACTTAGCCTATGCTCACCTCCGTTGGTGTCTTATGTTGTTGATGGGAGCCAATGATTTGATCATAGTGTTTTGTAGCTAAGTCTTATGGTTATGTATTAAAGACGTTTAGATATTGTGTAATATTGTACTTGTTGTATATGTAATGGAAAGGAATGGATGCCTAATTTGATGAATGTTATGTCTTGTAATAGTTATACAGTGCCAATTAGGTGAAAGAAGACATTTAGGTTGAGAATTAATGTAAATATAAGGGTATCATGTCTTTTTGTCCATTTTTCATATCCTATATGATAGATTTGGATTCTTTGGAAGTTATATATCTTTTCCTTATCTTTCCAACGAGACCAAGATTGCGTCAATCGGATAAGTATAACTCAAGTTAGGAGTAAAATACTAAAGTAGGGTAAAATCTTCAGATCTGTGACGCTGTTAGCGCCCAATGGGTGCTGTTGGCACCACCAAACAATGGGTTGGCACTATTAGCGCCAAAGTTGGCACTGACGGCGCCGTAAGATGTGAAAAAGTCAGTGGCGCTATCATCTCGGGTTTGGCGCTATCAGCGCAGGACCCTGTGAAATTCAATACTATTTTTTTCAAAAATTCATAACTTGAGCTACGATGCTTTAAATTGAGCGCGGTTTAAACCCATGTGTAGCTAATGAAGAGATATATAAAATACTGGTAAATTAGGACCATAGAGAAAATATAGAATTCCTTAAGTAAATAAAAAATAAAGTGTTTAGTGTTGAATTTCAATAAAAATGAGTTTTTAAGACTTGTGAATTTAAGGGGACTACTTTGCATTTTAGGGGAGCGATGTATGGCATGGTTAAAGGAACCTTAAGTATTTTGGATATTTTAAGTTATGATTACAGTTTTTTTTGAATTGTTTTAATTACGGAATTGATTTTAAATAGAAACATTTATTAATGAAAAGGAAAAAAGTTTTCCCGTACTTAAATTCAATTGTTGTAATTGTAACTGCGCTTAATGCTATATATCATGTTAACAAATCGGTTCTAGAATGAGATGTTACACTTATGCAGCTTTATTCCGAAGAATAATGGCTTTAAACATGGACCCAACGATTAATTACGGGTTGAAAGATATAGCTTACACATTTCTCTTCCTTTTCTTTGCAATGGAACCACTTATAGCGTGGCAGAGAAAAATTTTCTTTATCGAAAACAGAAAAGTTAAACCCAAATTTTGCCACTTTTACAATAACAGCAGATAAGAAATGCAAACATATTTATATTAGGATGTGTATGCGGATCCTACCATTAAAAAAAAAAAACCAGGATCTGCATTGATTTGCCAAAATTTCTAGTGTGTGTTAAAGACTTAAAATATATATAAGAAAACGTGAAACTAGTGCGTACATACTTATTTATTGGCAATAGCTGCAGGGTTGTACACATTTTTCATGCTTCATTCCGAAGAATAATAGCTTTAAACATGAACCCATCGATTGCTCAACTGGGAGATATAGACGGTCTCTACACGCTAATTCAGGAGAATCCAAGCGTTTTGGAGGACATTGAGGTGATACCATTTGTTGAAACTCCTTTGCATGTTGCTGCATCTTATGGGCATCTCTCATTTGCTTCTGAGATTATGAGATTGAAACCTTCGTTTGCCGTGAAGCCAAATAAGGAAGGATCCAGTCCCATCCACCTTGATTTAGAAAAACTAAATCAGCAAGAGTACAACCCCATCCACAAGAGAATGGTGATTCGCTTTGTGGAAATTAATAGAGACCTTGTCCGTGTCAAAGGAAGAGAAGGCATAACGCCTCTCCATTTTGCAAGTCGAATTGGAGATGTTGACCTTTTATCGAACTTCCTATCTGCTTGCCCAGATTCCATTGAAGATGTGACTGTGAAAAGCGAGACCGCCTTGCATATTGCAGTGAAACATGAAAAGTACGAGGCTCTTCAAGTATTGGTTGGCTGGCTCAAGAAAAGTCCAAGAAGGGGTGCCATGAAGTTAGAACAAAGAATACTGAACTGGAAGGATGAAGAAGGCAACACCATTTTGCACATTTCAGCACTCAAGAATGACTCACAGGTATATCCTTCTGTCTATATTTTGAACTTACTTTTGATTCATAACAACCCATGGAAAAACTGCCAGGTACCCCGATTATAGTGAAGATTTTATGTTGGGATATTCAATGTTTATAAGGAGCTAATTAAGTAAAGACTATATAAGTGGGAGGAGTCATTAATCTGATATTGTAAGATTTTGGATTGAGACATGTCACGTTCACTTGTTATAGTTGAACTAACTTGGTCTATTAATAGTGATATCCTCCTCCATGGGCTTCTCCCAAGGGGCCACCTGATATTTTAGATGGCTAAATGAACTAACAATTTTGTTGTTGTTAATTTTCTGATAGGAACATTAATGTCTAAGACTAAGAGGTTTTATAGTTAAACTTAATCTCTAACAATGACATTGTTCATTAATTCGATTCCTTGGTAGCACAGCCGCTTCAATTGTTGGTAAAGACTATGCGGAATTTGAACGCCAAGAATTTGGAAAACTCAACAGCATTAGACATAGCAGCAGCCAATAATGCAGAGATGGAAAGTATATTAGTGAGTGGTGGAGCAAGACGCGGTTCATCAGTTACTAACGCTCCCTCCTTTGCAGATAAGCTAAAGTCAAAACTCACAATTATGGATAAAATAATCATTTATATACTTCGCTCAATGAATATAACAGATGACCAACGCAATGCTTTACTGGTAGTGGCTACTCTTGTTGCAACCGCAACTTATCAATTGACACTGAGCCCACCTGGTGGAGTTTATCAGGCAAACGCTGGGGATAATAATTTGAACTCTACTTCCCTCAATTCCACAGCTACTGCTACCGGACGAAACGCTGGGAAATCGGTCATGTCTAATCGTGATTTCTTTGCCATATCCATTCTTAATACGTATATATTTTTACTATCTATTATGACAATCTTTGTTATGGTTCCAAGTGTGAGGTTGGCTGCTATAGTGACCATCCCACTGGTTTTGCTTGCCATCGCCTATAGCTATTCTGCGCAGGTGATATCCCCTAGCTTGGCTATATCATATTTCATCATCATTTATGTGCCCGGATTCCTTGGGTGTTTCTTGATGCTAACGTGGACACTTAAAAGAGTGTACAAGAGACTTCCAAACAGGGAATAGAAGAGGAGCATGGTTGTTATAGTATTTCTACTAATTTGCCACTTTGTTTAACTTTTGGCTTTAGTTATAAACTTTTAAGGGGTTTATAAATTTTATGTTACTGCTCCAAAAATTATTTTGCAGCTGAGACAATAAAATATGAGGGCCACAATTTTTTTTTTCTCTTTTTTATTATCTCGAGCGCTGTGCGTATCGACCCGTGCAATGCTATAGCTAACGAGTTCTACAAATTTTGTGTTGATGCAGCAACAAAAAATTTATAAGCCCAATTTTTAATAAAAAAATAACATGGCATCGAAATTTTGAATTTACTTTTTATGGTAAGCTAGCATTAAATATATATATATGTATATATATATATATATAAATATTTAAATTTTAGATACTTTAAAAATTTGATTGCAGTCATTAGAATCAATTTATACCATAATAAAAATATTTGGGTTATTTATCTGATTAAGAAATGTTGGATTCGTTAATTGACATCCATAATTATAACGATCTTAGGGTAGAGAAATTTTTGTCCGATAATTTCCGATACGTTTATTTTAAATTTTTGATACTTCAAAAATTAAACTGCCATCGTGAAAATCAATTTATACCATAATAAAAACATTTGACTCATTTATCCGATTAATAAATGTTAAGAAATATTTAATGACAATTGTAACTATAACATTTCAAGGCGTAGAGAAATTTTTATGTATATTTGTTTTTTATTTTTGATATCTCAAGATTTGATTACGATAGTTAAAATCAATTTACACCATATGACTATCGATGGTTAGGATTGGTGAATGCACTTTTTGACAGAATTGAATTTGGAAATAGAAACTTCTCATTCAGCTTGTGTTTTGCTGCTTGTTATGATGTCATCCTTGGATGTTAATTGTGATACAGATCAGAAATTCTTGCAATCACATGATATTCTTCCTGATTCCATGCATGGATGGACAGATAAGAATTTTCCTGAGTATCTAATATAATTTTAATGAAAGAAATTGCCAATATTATCAACCGTTTCTCTTAACACTTGATTTAAGTTATTTAACTTTTTTTATTAAAAAAATTATTTAACTTTTGGCTTTAGTTATAAACTTTTAAGGGGTTTATAAATTTTATGTTAATACTCCAAAAATTATTTTGCAGCTGAGACAATAAAATATGAAGACCACAATTTTTTTTCCCTTTTTTATTATCGCGGGCGCTGTGCGTATCGACCCGATTCTACAAATTTTGGGTTGATGCAGCAACAAAGAATTTATAAACCCCAATTTTTAATTAAAAAATACCATGTCATCGAAATTTTGAATTTACTTTTTATGGTAAGCTAGCATTAAATGTATATATATATATATATATATATATATATATATATATATTAGATACATTAAAAATTTGATCAATTTATACCATAATAAAAATATTTGGGTTATTTATCTGATTAACAAATGTTGGATTCGTTAAATGACATCCATAATTATAACGATCTTAGGGTAGAGAAATTTTTGTCCTATAATTTTCGATACGTTTATTTTAAATTTTGGATACTTCAAAAATTAAACTGCCATCGTGAAAATCAATTTATACCATAATAAAAACATTTGACTTATTTATCCGATTAATAAATGTTTAGACATATTTAATGACAATTGTAACTATAACATTTCTAGGGTAGAGAAATTTTTATGTATATTTGTTTTTTATTTTTGATATCTCAAGATTTGATTGCGATAGTTAAAATCAATTTACACCATAAACACAGTATCCAATTAACGGTGGGCCGGTGGCCATAATTATAATGGTCCTGAAATGATAACATTCTTTATCGGGTAAGTTTTGACTCGCACGAAAACATGCATGTTCAAATTTTTAGTTAGCAAAGTATTTCCTTTACCAAAAAAAAAGTAAAGTATTTCTTCGATTCTTCTAAATAACTTATTTTCAGTTATCTCAAAATTATGTCGTTTTGAATTAATAAAAGTATTTCTGTAATTTTATTTATTTTTTTATCAAATGAAATTTACTGAAACACCTTTCATTAATTTTCCTAACTTACGAAAACACCCTTCATTAATTCAAAACGACGTAATTTTGGAATCACTTATATCCGGTGACTGAAGAAATACTTTATTCTTACTTGTTTAATTGCGGGAGTTGGAATCAATTTACCCTAAAAAAATTGGAAATGATATTGTAACAATCAATTAGGGTTACTATCATTGTTACTACCAATCAATTTCACCGTTAGATCGATTATATGGATCCAACAATTATATTTATTTTCATCTTTGTATGATTATGATTTCTCACATTTAATGATAACCGTTGAATCAATGTAATCGATTTAATGGTAAAATTAATTAGTAATAACATTGATAATAATCCTAATTGATTGTTATAATATCTTACCCAGTGAATGACAATCACAACTACAACGGTCCTGAGCTAGCAAAATATGTTGTCAAATAAGTTTCAGCCCGCCTGTTCAGAATCAATTGACCCTATAACAAATATGTTTGACTTGTTTTCATTATTGGTGATTGGGCTTTGTGAATGATGACCTCAACTATTGAAGTCCTAACATAGAAAAATTCTTTGTCATGTAATTTTTGTTTTTCATATTTTGGTGATGAGAATCAACTTACACCATAATAAACAAATTTAATTTGTTTTCCTAACCAATAAATGAGGGCTTCAACGAACTAGAAAATTCTTGTTGGGTAAGTTTTGACCCGCACAAAAGGTTATTTTTTTACACCACGGAGAACATATTTGACTTATTTTTCTTTATTAAAAATGTTGGACCTATCGAATGGCGGCCATAACTATAACGATTCTAAGATTACACTATCCTTTGTCATGTAAGTTTTGACCCACACATTGAATCAATTCACATGTAATAAACATATTTGGCTTGTTTTTACAATTCACAGACGTGGGATTTAGTAAATGGCTACTGTAACTGTAACGATCCTGATCATTGCAGATGTGTTAGTTTTATATTTTGGAGGCTTAATGTTGGGTATGGCTCATACTTCGCATGCTGATGAGGACCCTAGTTGTCGGGGTCAGCAGAAAGACAACTGGGCCCATGAATAGCTGCTGTTAGGATTTTCTAATCCTATTTATATTTTTCTTGTAAACCGAGTGACTTGTAACGAGTGGCGGTGAGATGAATGTAGTACAGACAAGCTGGACGTAGCCTATATTGGGTGAACCAGGGTAAATCGCTGTGTCTATTCTCTTTCTCTCTCTCTCTCTCTCTCTATTTTCTTTTCCATTCTTGATTCGTGTGATTGTCAATTTCCAACACTTAAAAGGTGATTAAAATCAATTTACATCATAACAAGCATATATGACTTATTTTCCTTATTAATAAACTTCGGGATCAGTGAATGGAGAAATTTCTAATTGAGTAAGTATGACTTGTAGGGATGGTAAATAAATCAGGAGCCTTTCAGAGCCTTTGACCCGTCTCGTGAAGGTCTGAGCTTTCATATCTAAAATTGATTGTTGGAATCAGGCTTGAACTTATATAAAAGCTCATTTAAAAAAAAAGGTCTTAGGTTCCAATTCAAAAACCCGACCTTAGAGCCTTCCAGGCCGGCCTAGTATACTAATTTTTATTTTTATTTTATATTTTTTATACTACGCATAATAGCCATCTCTCTCCTCAACTCATTTCACCTCATTTTATTGGTTAAATATACTTTTTGAATGATTTTGTTCTATATTATGCTCTTTGGATATACATTGAATTTATGAATCTTTGTTGAATTATTAGTGCTGTTGATCGTATATTCTGTTTGGGTAAAATTTTGTTGTCTTGTTTTTTTCAACAGGCAAAATCAAGTTTAAATTAATTTAAATTTATTTTTTTTAACTCAAATTACAATTTAAAATTAAATTTTGCCAATTATATAAGTTAGTATAAATATCAGGAATGGATCATTCAATATGTTATTTAATATGATTATGTTATATGAGATAATTTTAGTTATTTATAAATAAATCAACAATTATCTTTTTGTCACTCTCTATTTTAATATTTTCTTATCTCTCATCTTTTGTCATTGTTAATTTGTTTATAAATAATTAAAATTATCTCACATAACCTCATGTTGAATTACACATGGGAAGATTCATTCTCATAAATATTACACTTCATTTGCATTGTTTATGACAATAAAAAAAAATGGATCCTTTTATATGACATAAAATCCTGTGATATAATTTCAAATATAAATAAATTAATAGTGGTTTTAATAACAGTGGTTTTTACTATGTGATAGCTAACTCATTCCAAATTTATTTAACATTGCGAGTTGTTATCTGTCGTTATTACACCATAGAAACTCAATATTCACATTTCACGTTATGACAATTCTCCAATTCATTTTAATTGTAATTGTAACGGCCTAATCACACCTCCTGCACTATGAAAAGATTATTGCACTCTTTTTTTTTTTTTTTTTTTAGGTTACAAGAAATTGAATACAACATCCAAAAAAAAATTTCTCAAGTTTTTTTAATAAAAACAAGACAGATGACATGTTAGTTATCCTGTTAATTGGTTCTAATTATTGTAATTGAACTTTCCTAGTATCTAAGATCTAAAGCAAACATACAAACCTAGAATTTCTTTATCTAAGACGATTATAATTTGTGTCATTATTTAGTTAGCTCCACATTTATTAATTAGGAGAAAAAGATAAACATGTTCATTATGTTATGAACATTAATGCTACAATTTCAAGCATAGCATAGGTGTTCATGTTAAAACTACTGTTTTATCATTGAACTCTTATTAAATCGTATTTCGTATCCTCTTCTTGGTATTATAACCAGCCAAGAATACTCTTAGCACTCGGCATATACATAAGCATCAACATATAGGGTTTTCACAAGCTTGCGCTGATAAACCACACAAGGAAAATATATATTATAAAAGAGCAAGTTGGTCTTAAATAACCAAACTTACCAAATGTTCAACCAAA